TAAAAAAAAACCCAAAACAAACAAAAAAACCCCCAACAAAACAAATCATAAATGAGATTAAAATAGCCTGGAAAAACATAATCTCAATTGCCCTCTTCCCCATTCCCACGTCCCTGTTGCTATCATCCCTGCCCCCTACAGAAACACTAAAAACCAAATTCCGTAGCAGGAATGTCTCTTCAGGCTGACCTTTGTGCTGACCTGACAGTGCAAGGGCTCAGGACTTGTCTTGTTTGTTTTAATCCCTGCGCTTGTGCCCAGTGACTGCTGCCTCCCCTGCTCCAGCCTCGGCTCTAGGAATGACCCCTCTGGAGAGGGGGTGACCCCATCCTGATGTCAGTCACTGCCTGACAAACCATAGCCTCTTGTGGGGGGTGGCAGGGGACCACTGCCAGGCTGCAGCTGGCAGCCTGGGAGAAGGAAGTAGATAATGAAATGAAAACATGTAAAGGTAGGCTGAGATGGACACTTGACTGACAGGGAAGAAACTTCCACCATGAATGTCATACTCCTCCCTATGAAGACCTCGGGATGCTGATGACTTACTGCAAGTCTTGCCCCCTCTTCTTGAGGGAGATTGATATATTGCTCTTGGGACCAAGAGAAGCACTGGAAAGCTGAGCATAATACCAAAGTGAAAACTAGATAGTAGGAAGGTGTTTTTGTATAATATTTTTAGGGGTATTATTAATAAGTCTTTGGGTATTAATTTGGGTTATGTGTGTTAGTATTAGACAAATTGAACTATTAGGCTGTTAAAACACTAATTGTACAAACAATAAATTCTTCTCTCCATATATATATAGTGAAGTTCTTTTACAATTATGACCTTTCTCAAAGTACTCCAGCTGTAATTCACTGATTAAGCAAACAGACCATTTTAAACTAAAGCACCTGGATGATGGAAGCTCTAGCAAAGTGGCTCCAAGCAAAACCACCTCATTCTTATAGTATCTCCTGTCTCACAAGTGAGGAGAGAACTCATTATGGCCTTTAAAGAGACTAAATGAACCATTGGGAAAGGCAGGAAATGTAGGTCTCCCTTACAGGAATATATGAAAAAACCCAATAATCTCAAGTGCTCTACAGAGGGTTGTTTTTTTAATCACTTCTATTACCTCCCATCTTCCCACCTAAGGAGCAAAAAGCCCCCCATATTCAACAAAACATATTCAAATGGAAAACTACTGCTCTTAATCCACCAAACACTGTCTAGGGAAAGCACACTAAGCATTACCATTACAGAAGTAGTTAAGATATTGCTATTTCCTGTAGGTTGTGAATGAGTCACGTTAGTTTTCTATGCATCTTCAGAACAGGACCACAACATCCATCAGAATTTCTGAGACATCTTCTTTGTTAGGGAATGTATAAAAGGTACCTCCTCTGGCGGACTCTGGGGCCTGAGGAGCCTCCTTCCCAGCTGCTGGAGCCCAGCCCAGTGCACCCAGAGACCTGGGGGTCCCTCTGTCTTAAGCCAATGGATGCAGCTGTTGCTTTCCTGTTTGCAGGCTTGACCAGTAGCAAAGATCAACATGTATGCCAGAGATGCGCACATGCAGAGGACACTAACACAGCCAGCTACATAGACTGTCCACGACAGGGTACTGCCTTTAACAACATCCACATATAACACTACCAGAACTCACATAAAACCTATGTACAAACAGCCAAATCCCAGTTCTTCTCTCTGACTGACCAGGATTGAAGTTTGCTAGTGAAAACACACAGCCCCTTACTCTCTAGTTCAAAAGGACAGACACATTTGTGGGCCCCTTGAATAGTAGCATGGGACCTCAGCTCATCTAATATTGATGCGCAGATCCCGGGCCTCCTACCCACCAGATAGTCCAGCCTGAAGTCTGCTAATGAATTACAAATGCACATACATGCATGCGCGCACACACACGTGTGCACACATGCACACACACCAGGTTAGGGGAAAATATAAACATTCTGGTCTTCCCAGTGGCTCGTGCCCAGGTATACAGGCCCTTGGTTCCCTCTCCACTTGCTGATGCTGGGACTCTCATCTGCTCCAGTTGGCATGAGGCACGGGAGCCACCATCACCCAAGGTCTGACGCCAGTCGCTGGCACTAAATTCACTCACTGCAGACACACACTCCTACGATCTGTGGTCTCCCTTCAGCTGGTGATGCTGACACCCTCATTCACTCCAGCTGCTGGCACCATAGACATTAGGACCACTGTCACCAGTGGTCTAACTCCAATTGAAGACCTCAAATTCAGTCACTTTTGTCTCCCTAGTTTCTGGCATCTAGACCTCACGGCACTCACAGATGAGGAGAGAGTGAGATTACATGGAAAGAGAGTTAAGAAAGGATTTAATAAGAATGGACAGACTACAGTGATTTGGTGCAGGGCTCAGTCAGACAAGTGTACTGACCAGCAACTGCTCACACACTACCAGCCTATTTTATACCTCCTTCCTCTCTATACCCACCCCATCCTTGTTTCACTGAGATCCCCTTCCTCTGAACATTCCTTAATAAGTCTGAGGGTGCAAATTCTGGTATGAATTGGAGTATTCAGTCATAAGAATGATGGCATGCCTAATGTTAGCTGTTTGTTATTAAGTTATGTTAAAGATGTTCTTTCAGGAAAGCGTGAAGAGAGTTCTGAGAGCTCAGTGAATGAACTAAACAATTAAAAAAAAAATACATAACTGACATGAACATATACATTGCTAGTCCAGTAGATCCATTCTATCATTGTGAACACAACTTGGACAAAGCAACCTTTTCTTATTTTGCATAAATGCTTGTAAATAATTGTAATTTTAAATATAAAATAATTTTATTAATTTTTATTTACATCTCATGAATTTACAGTAACAAGAATATTTCATACTTTCATTCAGATCATGTGAACTAGTTACTGTCAGTGTCTTACCTCATTTTGGAAAAAGGTATGTCAAAGTTTATCAAATGTTAAACATCATTTGCACAACCTTGGTATTATGTTTGTGTTTTCTGTGCACAAGTTCAATATCAAAACAGAGGAATGTTTTGAATTTGCTGCCAACTTCACACACTTAGAATAACAGAGGAATTTTGAATTTGCTGCCAACTTCACACACTTAGAATAGCATTAGAGATACAAGATTCATAATTACACAACTCTTATCTATGGAATAATAATAGAAAAATGTCTGTTTTCATAGAAAAATGTTTGTTTTCATAGAAAAATGTCTGTTTTCACATGGGTTGTTTGGTTTTTTTTTTTAGGTAGCTATTTTTGAAGTTGCCTTAGTGCTAGCAAACACTTTTACACAGGATCACAGGAAGAAATGTAGACTTAAAACAACCACACTTGGTCAGAAAATAATTGCAAAATTATACTGTAAGTTAGTCGATCAGTCCTGTTGCAAGGTATGCTGATGTACTACATGTTTTCCTGTTACAGCAGGACCTGAGGCAATTTATAACAGAGCAGGAAAAAAGAGGTAAATTCCTGAAAGTCTGCCTTCTCCTCCCATGATACTTATTATGCTTAGAAACAAAAAAGGATTCTCCATATTCTTTTAGCTAACTGGAGAATAAAAAGGGAGCTAAATCAGACTCATAGTGTCCTTTTCTCCTTCACAATTCTTACCAGCTACCTGGAGAGTAGATTACAATGATCGCTGCTATCCACTAGAGTTGTATGTATTGAACTGTCTTCATATCATCATGGGTTTGGGTTTACTGTATCTGGCAGGGTATTCCTCCTGTCTCCTCCCCTCCTCTGCCTCATTAGGTCAAAATTGCAAGGATACAAAAGATTTTTGTGGGGAAAATTTCAAAAGCAATGTGCCTGCACAGTTTGGGTGAAAGGGACAAGAGTAAGTGTTCTAAAAAGTTATAGAACATGTGTGGGGGGAAAGCTAGTTCTAGAAAACTTTACTAATGGCCTTTCTTCCTTTGAAAAAAAAAAGGGAGGAAAAGAAGAGTAATTTAAAACAGATTTACTAGGAATTTAGAATTAAGCATGTCTATCCCATTTCTAAAAATATAGTTTTACACAGACAACTAAAATCTCAACACAAATGTTCAGTCTTTCACTATGAAAATAAAGATTGGCTCTTGGATCCCTCTAACTCCCTTAAGCATTTTTTTTTCTTCTTTGTTTTGCTTTTCTTTTAACTCTGTATCTCAGTGTAATGTTTTGTTTATATTCTGTGATTGTCAGGGATAACTGATGCTTCCAAGGAAGAGACATTTTTAAAAGCTTTTCTGTCCTTGGATATTCAAGTGCTAGCTTTATACTTAGCTCATTCTTAAAGAATGTTCTGAGTATTGCTACTTCTGTTATACCAACACAGTAAATCTCTGCTGTGAAGTACAAGAATGAATAGTGTTTTAAGTTTGGCTGCTATCCTGACCCCCAAGAAAAAGTGTTTACAGTAGGATGGCTTTAGATACATTTTCTGATTCAAGCTTTTCTCATGAAAACATCTTATTTGTCCAATATATTGCAAGTAAACCGCTTAGCTTCTGAGAGTTGTTTTTTGTTAAGTCAAGACATACCACTAAATCATGGGATTATTGACTCTTTACATTATTTCCATCTTATTTTTCTAGCACATGTATTAAGAGGATGCTGAAATTATGAATACAGGTGTCATGATCATTCTAAATAATCCAGCAAGAACTTCTGATCCTATTCTTGTGAACTCTGTATTTGAGAACCAGTGAGCTAGTGATTATGAGTCTTCCTTTGTCATACTGCCAATAGGAGAAAGGTACTCATGGATGGGATCCAATTATGAAAAGCCTCTATCATTTATACAGTTTTACTTTAGTACATGAGTATTTTAAAATAGTCACATGGAAGTCTGATTTCTTTATTTTACAAAACCCATTTAAAAAAAACCTGAGGAAATTGCAAACTGTGCAACAGTCATCTAAAAGAACTGTTTTAATAAAGCAAAAGTTCACACCATTATTATAACACAGGAAACCATTATTATAACATAGGAAACAAAGGTGTTTCTTACCTGTAAAGCTGTTGTCACATTCACAAAGAAAAGTGTTTGGAGTAACATTGCTGCAGTTACCATTGAAACACGTCTGTGGCTGGCACTGTCCAACTATTTCTGTACAATTTTTACCTATTTAAAAGGGATAATAAGAACATTGAACTTTAGTAAATATTTATTCTTTTTCCTGAAATGTCACATTTATATGTAAAATAAAACATTATATTTAATAGATAGGTGGATGGATAGATAGGTATCTGTGCTAATGGTCGCTAGTTTTCATCAAAATTACTGAAGTTCTAAAGCAAGGCAGAAAGATATTCAGCTGCTGTAATATGAGCTACTGTGCTCAACCTCATCTGCCATATAGTTAAAAATTCACGTATAGTTTAAAATGCAGAAATGCTATTAGTACTGTAGTATTTGTTTCTTTTTGACATGAATCTAGCTTACAGTTTCTTCCAGCATTGCGAACAAAAGATGTTCTTATGTGGAGTCCAATTTGACTGAATTTTTCTAAATATGCAGCTTTCCGGAAATTGGAATTCCAATTATAAATTGTTTATGCTATTACAGCATATGGGTCTAAATACTGTATAATTATGCTTGCCACTTGAATTGTTGCTGTGACATTATTCACACTTCAACAACTTTTCAAATTTCTAATAGACTTTATATTATCGGAGGCACTTTTTTCCTCCCTTACTCTTGTGTAACCACGTCCATAATATATGATGGTTTAATCTCCTAGTTCTTCTTGTTTACATACAGCTTATTTACTGGACCAGTATTGCCAGTACAAAATTATGGCATTAGCCAACACTGTCCCATATAGGCAACAGAATATTTTAAGTATTGCTTCTTGATAACATTAAGCATTATGATTGCTTTTAACAGAATTGCTTATGAATCTCTCCATTAATTTGAATTAAAGTGGTACCACACACTTTTTGATATTATTATTATTTTCAAAGCATTTTATGCAGCCCCCCAAAATCATAAAAGAAATAGAAAACATACTACATACCTTCAGTTTTCTACTATTTTACTCAACTTTGAATAATTATAAAAATATTTTTCTCATAATATTGAATTATTCATACCTGCATAATCTTCTATTTGCAAATGCATTAGTAACCAAATTATTACGCAGTTTGAAAAGCAATTAAAAATAAATTACAGCAAACTTCATGCAACATAACCTTAATTTCTGTGTTCTATGAACCTCACTCGTTCCTGACTCATCAGCTGTGTTTCATAGCATAGCATCACTATTGTGAGAGCACAGAAGTGCAGTGCATTGAAGGAACATTGCTAGAATTCTGCTCCACAAGTACAGAAAGAGCTACAACCATCCTTTTTGTGATGTGAATGAATATTTCTGGTACTTTCTAAAGGATTCCTGAACTCCATTGGTCTGAATGCAGGAACAATATACCCAAAATTTCCTTCATCTCTTTTTTTTTCCTCCAAGAAATGGAGATAATGGTTAGGTAAGAATGTATCTAATCATGCTGTACTCTCTGGTAGTCCAATCACAAACCCAGATTCAGTTTCTCCAATGGGTTTTGGGTAAGTACTGCAATATTTCCTAGGTACAATTAGGTGATCTTTTTTTCATTTGTGAAGTATTTAATTTTGTAATAACAGTATGTTTAACAAAGTCCTTTTGAAAGGAACTTTACAAAGCAAAATAATCTGGAAGAAAAGAGTTAGTATTTTGTTTTGCTTGCTCTTCTAATTAAATGTTTGACTTTTCAATTAAAAACAAATTTTAATTTTAAAAATTTCTCTAATGTATTTTAAAAGGTCTTTAAACTGAAAAGGGAGGTTTTGTGGCAGGTTGAACGTTCATTTCAACAAAACCATTTGCTGTTGTTCAGAAGTCTGGTTAACTATTTTTTGGGGAGCTTACTCCAAATTGTTTATGTTATTTGATGTAAGAACTTGAACTGCTGAACAAACAAACAAAAAAATCAGTTACTTCTGTAAGTTCACAAGTACTTACCTATGTCTTGTGCTTAAGAAGCATGAAAAGAACTTATTCTGTTTTTTCCCACAATGCACACATGAATGTAAATAAGTACAAACTGTTTTCAAATGACTACACAGTCTCCTATAAGTTACTACATGTAAAAGAGACTCAGTGCAGGTGTGGTAGCGGCAATGGACAATCAAATTATACAAAACCCTTGCTAATGATGTTCTCACTGTTTTATTAACCATTAAGGAAAATGTATTATCTATGTAACATTTATTCCTAAAGGGGAAAAGAAATACCTGAAAATTTTGGAGGACATGTGCATTCGTAAGAATCTCCAGAAAGTCCTGATTTCTCAGTGCAGGAGGCATTGTTGTGGCAAGGTTTAGTGGAGCACATATCAAACTTCTGGCAGAATCTTCCAGAATACTGTGAGAAGCAATGGCAATTATATGCTTTTTCCCAAACATGGCTTAGACATTTTCCATGCCCAGAGCATAATGGTGCATTTGGAGACTGTTGGCAAAACTGCTGCTTCACGGTTACGTTCAGACGAAGGCCCATGTTGCACAATGGCGGGCCTCTCTTATGAAGCTCTGCAAAGTAATGAGTTCCAACACCAAGCCATTTAGGGTCAACTTGGTGCAGTCCTCTTATCTGGCAAACAAAAATCAACTGCTTTTGAAGAAAACCAGCTTTAGGGCAGTTAATAAATCGTTCCTTGGAGACATTTACCAAATTCATTCCGTAGGACTGAAAGGATGGCTCAGATGAGATGAAGAGACTATCACCTAATTGAAGCTGTAAGGGGCATATCTGAGGGATACTGAGATTTTGTTCTTCTGAGATTTCCCCAGCAATACTTTTATTCATATTCCAGCATTCGGTATAAAAGTCTGAGCAGATGTTTTCCCTTGGTGTCCATTTTATTGCAGTAGGTTTTGGTTCCATTCGCCATTCAGCAGTCATTTGCCTCTCACATATTACCTGCCCATTTACTATGCATAGTTGAAGAAAGCATGCTAACATGCAGACTGCTGATTTTGTAGTCATTGTTTCACCTGGCAAATGGGAGTTGTTTTTCACACCCACTTCATTACTGAGGATAGCTTCAGTATTCTTATTCCTTAAGGTTCATCTGTATTTTCCATGGCAGCCTAGGAATTCAAACAGAGAAAAATATTTCTGTTTTAACACCAAATAGAGTTGAATGTCAAAGCCTCATTACAAAAATAGAAAATATACAACAAAGCAAGGTCTACATCTAATTACACTGATGTGAAACTGGAATAAGTCCAATCCACTGTAACTAAAGTCAGATTTTTCCTATTTCTATTCCTGCTAAAGATTTGATTTTCATTTAGTACATTTCATTGTACTTGCGTATGGAAACGAAACAGCTTAAAAGCATACTTTCCATATTCCCTCCCTCGGTTGACAAATCTAATGATAACCAAGTTAAGATAGGACATCTGTGGCAAAACTAAGAAGTAAACCAGAACATTAAAGTTCTAGTCATGAGCTTTAACCATAAATGTTTTCCTGATAATGATTTATCATTAACTTGTCACAAAAGTATATATTCTGAAGATGTAGGCATATGAATTATGGCTTCAATGAAGAAAACATACAAGCACATCCTCAACTCTTTTATGTTCACTCAGCAAAACACTTAATTAAATCCTTAGTTGTCAAAGTATATATCTGAAAAACAAAGGTCCTTAATCATATCCTTGAGGTTTTTGATGTATCACCATCAAAACCAGCAGACTAGAGAGTCCTACAGGACTATTTAATTTATAGAAAAGCCTATTTTGGCCCTTCAATATATCTGGTAATTTTTTTTGCATGGAGATGAGTGATTACAGAACAGAAGGAAAATCAAAATAAGATTCTGAAGCTTATTCTTGGAGTCATACTGAAAATGATGAAAACAGAATATGATGTTTAATACTTTAGAAATTGTCAATAGCTTTGAGTTAGTAACAATGTAATTTGCCCTAAATATAAGGTTTTTTCTCCCTTTAGTTCTATAATGCCTTTTTTTTTCCTCAGTATATTTATCTTACACTTTAAGATAGTGGCCTCTAAACTGACATTTACAAATGAGAAAATTATTGTAAAAAATAAACTGTATCTTACAAGGGAAGCCATTTAATAAAAATAAAAAAATGCATTTATGTTTTGAAATTTGTTTACATAATTTTCATTTTTACACAGCATGAGGAATGTCATGTGGATGTGTATATTTCTACACTTGCATACACCTGGTCTATCTCTAAAGTGCACATCGATTATGATATCATTTTAATGACATCATTTCATTAAATGTCCTATTCTCCCCCCATGTAGTTCAAAAATATTTTGGAGCATACTTTGGACTATGCTGAAAGATCAAAGTAGGACAGGAAAGATACTGTTTGTGGAAACCTTGAGCTGGAAAATATTAAAGGACTCAATGAGCTGTTGAAAATTATAGGATAATATCAAAGGGTAGTATTCAGTCTCTCCTATTGTCACCTAAATTGGGATGAAAATGTCTAAAGTTTAGCTAAGTCCTATTAGTAAATTGCTGTGCATGTGAACCTGTCCCAATGACCTTTGTGCAGCAGAGTGACCAGCACTCTTTAAGCCTTTGAAGATACCAGAAAGGTGTGGACTATGACTAACTAGTAGTAATAATAGCAGACTTGGGGCTTAGAATATGAAACTCAGAAGGGGTAGAAATTAGATTTTGATCCTCCTTCTAGTTTTTGTTTTAATTTAATTTCTGAATCGCAATTCTGCCTTCAAAGATTTGAAGTACTCTAACCACGTAGCTCCACAGCCAAGCAAGTATGCTAATTTCTAATTCCTCTCTCTGCCTCTGTATTTCCACCCCTGGGAGCTAATTCCCCATAGAAAAAAAAAAAAAAAAAAGAAAGGACATAGATCTGCAAGAAAACTACTAGCCTTGTTACAGAATACTCATAGTCTTTCTATCTTGAGACCGTCCCATTATCTTCAGAATCTCATGATGTTCAACGATACCATTAGACAATGTGCTATCAAATGTGTAGTTTGGATCATTTAGCATTTTTTCTTTTAAGGTAGCAGTGTTGAACTATTATATCCATTATAGCTGCTATTACATCTGTCACTATTATCAGGTGTAAAAGTCTATGCTCTGTATTACTGTATATTTAGAAATCCTCTATTCAGCAACCCATCTTTACATACCTTTTTCATAATGAGATTTTCTCAGGAGTTACTAAAAGAGATGTTAATAAAAGGTTATTTTTCTTTTTAGACACTTCAGAAAGAAAGCTATTGCTTAACTAATGCAGAAGTATTCTTGCCCACTTATAATATATTTTGCCCTTCGTTCATGTAATCATACACAGTTCTGGTATCATATACAGGTTTCATTTTTACTGATAAAGAATACTCTATCTGTATCTCATACAATATTTTTATGGGTTAAAACTTCTGAACTATTTTAAAATAAATAATCAGTAGTAAAACAGTTGATACTCTGTCTTCACAAAAATCATTATTAGTCTTCATGCAACTGAAAAATTATTATGGGATCACTAGAATTAATAATGCTAAGTAAACAAATACATCCTGTAAAGCTGTAGAAAAAACTAGATAGAAATATCAAGATAGAACAAAGATTGTTTTTTTAGCAATATAATCAAGGGGGAAAAAAGTTATACAGTGAAGAGTATGAAAAGTAAAGAGCTATGCATGAAATAGCGTTACAATATTAACACACATGACTTAGAAAATCAGCCAAGAAATTAAATATCTGCAAAATGCTGATGCCATGTCATGAGAAAAAATGATGTTGTGAGATGAAATTTGAAAGTGATTATGATAACTATTATATTTTAGGTCTGCTTTAGGCAAGGAGATAATCTTCCTATCTATAACACCAGATGCTTTCATGTAATTGATAAAGACTAAGAAAAGTCCAAGACTGGGACTTGTATGGATGAACAGCAAGATACTTAAGAAAATCTAACTCTTAAAATTACTTAAGGCTGGGTGAAAAGAAGCACAATGCTCTATTTTTTACTAAAGGAGAACTAAAGCAGAAAGGTTTATGCAGAACCCCAGGGAAGTAATTTAAAAGCAAAAATGAATCCCAAGTTATTTGCATTCCAGTCCAGTATCTTAAAGATTATATTTTCTTTCTATTAATGAGTTATTAAATACTAATGACAAAAATAAAGTACATTTTAAGCAAGATTGGAGAAATACCCACAGAAGATATCTGACTGTAGCAACCACTCAGAAAAAAAGAATCTATCAAAGAAGAGAATAAACCAGAAAATGTTTAGGAACATCGTGTCACCATGTTGGGGCCAGGAATGAACCTCCTCTTGCCACCTCCCCACACATCACACGCACACTTTGTGGACTGTCTGCCTGTGCTTGAGGTCAGCTCTAGTAGGATGGGGCTGTGACCTTGGTTCAATCTACTGTGAAAAGAGCTGGGGGGGCCTTGATGGGGGTCCCCCACCTTGCTCAGGAGGTGCATTTAAGATCAGGCTCTCACCCTTGGTCTCCACCTGGGCTATGCTGCAAGTGGGCTGGTACATGACTTTATACCTTGCTTACCTGGGCCTCAACTCTGACCCAAACATTTGACTTACTGGCTTGATCTCAGGACCTGTCTCCTCACTGTGGACCTGCCTGGGAACCACTGGACTGTTGGCTGGCTCTGAGTGTCATCCCCAGACCCACTCTGTGCTTCTCACATGGGTGCTGTGGGATGGTGTCCCTTGTCACTGAGGTCACTGTCACTCCCCCTTCCCAACACCACTCCCTTGCAGGACAGCCCATGCTTGCTGCTCCCTGGGACTGTGATATCATGCTTGCTTTATTTCTGATGCATATTTAAAAACATCAAATTTAAATATTACTTAATATGTACACATAATACAGGAAATGCCACAAATTATAGTACCTGCACAATTTGACTTCCACCCTCTGTGTGTTTTACAATATGCACTAATTGTCTCGATGACTTACCAAGTTGTCCTTTGTACCCTTACATTTTTCATCACAAAAGTAATAATTCTTAGGAAATGATGCATTATTTATGCCAATCTTCATTCTTTGCAAATGATCCTTTCCTTATATTTTCTATACACCATTCAAAACATACAGTGTTTGCTGAATTATTAATTTGGTAATATGATTTTCTAGAATATTGAACATGCTAGACAGTGAATTTACCTGCATCTCAAAATACAGAATCCTTATTTCTACCTTATAGTTATACTATATCTATAGACAGAAGGAGTGTTGATACAGCCAGCGCTGAAGGTGTCAGGGTTTTCTGATAGCTAATCTTTTACTCACCTATCCATACAATATCATTGTAGGCAAAACAGTATGGAGTCAGGGAATTTTATTTGACTCTAATTTATTGCTAGCTGTCATGGTTTAACCCCGGCTGACAACTCAGCCCCACACAGCTGCTCACTCACTCCTCCCTGGTGGGATGGGAGAGAGTATCAGAACGGTGAAAGAGAAAACTCATGGGTTGTGATAAAGACAATTTAATAGGGAAAGCAAAAGCCGTGCACGCAAGCAAAGCAAAATAAGGAATTCATTAATGACTGCCCATCAGCAGGCAGGTGTTCAGCCATCTCCAAGAAAGCAGGGCTTCATCAGGTGTAATGGTTACTTGGGAAAACAAACACTATAACTCTGAATGTCCCCCCTTTCTTCTTCTTCCCCCAGCTTTTTATTGCTGAGCATGACAACATATGGTATAGGAGATCCCTTTGGTCAGTTGGTCAGCTGTTTCAGCTGTGTCCCCTCCCAACTTCTTGTGCACCACCAGTCTACTCGCTGGTGGGGTGGTGTGAGAAGCAGAGGCGGCCTTGACTCCATGTAAGCACTGCTCAGCAGTAACTAAAACATCTCTGTTATCAGCACTGTTCTCAGCATAAATTCAAAACGTGGCCCCATACCAGCTACTATGAAGAAAATCAACTCTATCCCAGCCAAAACCAGCACACCAGCCAACATAAAATTCTGTTCAGTTATTCTGATCT